TTTGAAGGAAAGTTAAATGATTATAAATGGATGGTGTTATGTCTAAATAATTGTAGAACAAATAAAAGCAGGGCTCCGATCGACAAAATGCCAATAAAAAGTATAAAAATCTCGATTTAAAAGTATATAGGGAGAAAATTTCCAAATTTAAAGTATACTCCAAATTAAATTAGAAAATATTTATTCGTGCTAAATCTTTTATATTTCTCTTTTAAATAAATCTTTTTTTAATAATTTCTTGCTTCCACTGAGCATTTTGGTGCATTTCAATGCAATTTTTTCTGACGCCGAAGGCGCCAGATATAATGTATTACACAGATGAGAGTGATGGTGAGCCATATAGTGAAGAAGAGGAAAGTGACGATAGCGAATACGGAAATAATCAAGCAGTTGAAATTGAAAGGGCAATAAATAGAGGTCCTATCCCGGTAAACAGAGGAATATTCATACGCGTGCCAGAGGACCCCATAGAAGCCCGAATTAAAAGAAAACCAATTGTAAATAATAAGTATAATGAAAGAAGACCTATAACTTTATATTGTATTTGTCCTTGTAAATTTTCGAAGGATGAAGAATGTTATTGTGTAGATCGGACACATCCATGTACTTGTTATCCGATTCCAGATGATCCGATAAAAGCGAAGGAATTTAAAAATCTTCATTTATTGGAAAAAATAAAAAAGGTTAACCCGTTTAAAGAAAGCATTGAACAGTATTGGAAACAACAACCAAAAATCAATAACAAATATAAAACAAAAAACAAAGAGCGTTTAAAATTTTTTAGTAAAGTGATAAATAAATGGCTAGCGCTTGCTTTTATAATATATTTGTATTTTACACGAATCACTAGTGTTTCTAACCCCTGCGCCAAGAATGAACCGCTCCAGTTTGTAGAAATGCATGAATGTATTTCAAAGGGATTAGTAATAAATAGGGATAAACAAGGACGACTTTGTTGGCAAAATATTGATTGTGGGACAGGCCATTTAAGGATTAGAAAAGATAAAGCAGGATACTGTGGAGAAAAGTGTCAATGCCCCGCATGGACTAATCAGTGTAGTTTTTATATTGGACCAACTAGTAGAAATTCAACATTAAAAAATGAAAAAGTAAGAAAAATTTTGGATTCCGAGGAAATAAAAAAGAGAATTTGTTCAATAGAGCCAAATGCAAATTGCGCTAAAACTAAATCAATAAAAGAAGTAGACCAAATAGAGTTATATGATGGAAGTAAAATACTTGTAAATAATTTAAACATAATAATAGACGATTTAATTGAACATGAATTTATGTGCATTGGTAAGGGCCCCATAACTGGATCCGCTAAATACTGTGAAAAACATCATTGTTATGAAAAAGGCACTAAATTCTGTTATTATACCCGAAATGAGATCGCATTTTTTGAAACTAGATTTGGTAATATCCCCATACGTGCCTGGGGTAAAACAAAGATTAAAATTTATGACTTTATAGAGAAAAAGGAAAAATCAAAATGCGAAATGTGTGAAGTAAAATGTACAAGTGAAGGAATTCAAATAACTAGTGAAAATAAATTAAGCGGGTTTGAAATGTGTCTAAATCAAAAATGTGAATATACCGCCTTTCCTGAAAAAATTGAAAATAAAACGCTCGCAAAGAAAACACTAGTAAATGATTATGTTGTCCTTACAAGTTTCTTTAGAAAGGGAGAGAAAATAAAAGAAATAGAATTAAAGTGTAACCATAAAGATATTTGCAAACTAATTGATTGTACATTTTGTTGGGAGTATTTGAAAAATCCACACTGCTACCCAGAAATGGCAATGATATCGCTAGGCATAGCGATATATTTTTTAACTAGTACTATATTGATGACTTTTAAAATTATAAAAATTTTGTTTTGTATTGTGAGATTTTTAGTACGAGGAAAATTTCGTTGTATTCGATGGGTTGGAAAAATAATAATAAAATATAGAAATAACATAAACAAAAGAGAAAAGAGTAAAGAGAAATATGAGATCATTCCGCCAAAAATTAAAAACTCAAAATTACCCATGAAAATTATAGTAACAATTATTGTGTTTTCTCTGATTAAAAGTGTAGAAAGTTTGACAACAATAACCGCTAAAGAGGAAAAATGTACAGTAAATCGCCAAGGGGAGAGAACTTGCTTATTCGAGGATATTTTAGAGTTAAATTTAAATCCCCATGAACAAACTGTAAAAATTTTATTGAATGATCACATGGGGAAATTAGCAGGTACAATAGACTTAGAAGTTCACTACACAGAAATGATTTGTACAAAAGTTATAAAATTTTATACGAGAACTTGGAAAATAGGATCGATGTCTGTCAAACGATGTTACTCGGAGGGGAGTTGTAGTGAGAACAAGTGTAGCCAAATAAAAGCTAATGAGAAAATTGAAGAATTAAAGGATGTGAATAAATTTCCAGGTATATCTCAATGTGTAGAGTCAGACGGGGGTTGGTTCCAGGGGTGTTTCTATACATTACCAGCATGTACATTTTATCGCTTTTATGCAATGCCGACCGAAAAAGAGATTTTAGAAATATTCACCTGTGAAAAATGGGAACCAGTTCTTAAGATAAATGAAACAATTACTGATAGTTCGGGAAATATGACAAAATGTACATATAATCTAAATCCAGGTATGAAAATGTCTGATCGAAATATGGAAATAACAGTTAAGGATATAACAATGGGAGTAATCCCTATGCTTTCATCAACATTTGTATCAAATAAACATAAAATAGCTAAAATAGACACTGAAATGGAAAATATTTTGAGAAAATTTAAATGTAAGTCAATGACTGAAGCTAAGACATTTTTAAATTGTTCAATCGATCCCACTACCTGCCACTGCAGGCCAGCTGACAATAAAATAAATTGCGATTGTAAAGAAATAAAAAGTCAAAATGAAATATTCCTTTCTGAAAATAGCCTACCCTTTTCACACAATGGAATTTTGATTAAAAATGAGCTAGGAAATATAATTGCCTCAACTGAACTTTCATCTGCCACATTTCAGTTAAAATTAAGTGGAATGAGATTAAAAACAGAAATAGAACTTAATAAGTGTTTAGTCACAAATATTAGTATAACAGGATGTTATGATTGTAATGAGGGCGCGAATATAGAGTTGACTTGTTCTACAGATTTTGGAAAATCCCTCGCAAATATTATCTGTCCAAGTACAAAAATACTTGCACTATGTGATACAAAAGGAATTGGACAAAAGATATCAACCACACTCGCGCATGCCGAAGTAGAAGAAAAGTGTGAAGTGTTTTGTGGTCTTCATCCGACAACGTTTCTTCTTAAAGGTAGATTGGCAGCCGTTGAAATGAATTATATAAACACATGGCGTGTAGTTGGCAATGAAGAAGCTAAAATTGAAAGTAGCTCTTCTTTATCTTGGCCACTCGACTTCGACTTTTTCAACCTTCTCTACTACCTAGTCAACCCAACACATTTAATCATCTTTATCTTTACTCTTCTGGTACTACTCTTTATGTTCTATTGCCTACTCCCACTTATTTTACGTTTACTACTTACAAGCTTAATTCAATCAATTTGCCCTCGGAGTGTCGAGGATCGACATGTAAAAATAATTTAAAGTGATTTAAATGACATTTTTTAAAATTAATCATTTTTAAAGTACATTTCTTGTTCATCTTATTTTTCTCTTTAAAATACCCTTTTTCATGTATCATCAACCTTTTTTACATTCTTGCTTTAATTTGACATTTCCATCCTCACCTATTTAAACAATACTAATCTTCCCCAAAATCATCTTCTTCTATCATTGTAATTTAAATAAAATAAAATAAATCTTTTTAACCCCCATTTTGGCTTTTAATTTGTAAGTTTTAGTTTATAAGAATAAAACAAGTTTAGTAAATTGTCGAGTTCAGACAAAGTGGTGCCCCAGAAATTTTTGATTTTAGCAAACTGAAATCCAACTTTGAACGCGTTGGAAGGGCAGTGACTGTCTCATCATTGCCAAAAAGAAAAAGAGAGATATATCAGCCGGCACGGAATTTGGTGAAAAGAAGTGTTCAGCTTCTGAATCAACGAATTAAGGAAAGAAAAGATATTCATAAAATAAATTTGCCGGAGGAAAAACAACCAGTGGTAATCCAAATTCAGGTTCCTAACTTCCAACAACAGGTTCCTTATTCTTTTCAACAACTACTCTTACCACCACCACCCCCGCCACCTCCTCTGCCACCATCACCTCCACCGCAGAGAGAGCAACAAGAGAGAAACCAAATCCGAAATAATCGTAATAAGTTTAATTATCGTAGGCGTTCTTTCCGTCAACAAAACCGATTTTGGGAACGACGTAATTTAAATAGACCATCAACTAGTTCTAATTATTATCGTCGTCCAAATTTTCAACGTCGTAATTTTCAAAGAAATTATTACCCTTCCGTAAGACAAAACAACTACAGAAACCAGAATCGCTATCGAAATGGGAGATATTTTAGAACAAGGGATCAAAATGCTCCAACAACGTCTAGTTCGTATCAATACAGAGGCAGCCGGGATAGAGTTCACTATCGGCGCTAATTTAAGTGAGTTAGATAAAATAACATTAATAGAAAATTTAAAAAATAAGATTGATACATTAGGGGGTAAAATTAGAAACATTATGGAAGAATTAGATAAACAAAATATGAATTACGTTAAGTATTATGCAACCTTAGGCCCAACATTAAAAGCATCTGAAAAAGAGGCCTATGCTCAATTTGGTACAGGGGAAAACGGATTTTTAGTTACCATGGAACAAAGTCGAGACATTTTAGAAATCCTTGATGAAAATAGAAGAGTTTTAGAAAGAATGAATTCAGGAACGGTAAGAAATCAGGAAAATATAAATGTAAAATTACCGGAAATAAAACTCCCAGAATTTAACGGGGAATTAAGAAATTGGAATGCCTTTTACGAAGAATTTAAAGCCGCAGTAGAGGATCAACAAATTCCCGAAAAAAGAAAGATGCAGTACCTTAAAAGTGCATTAACGGGAGAACCTCTTGAGCTTGTTGATCAATACCCTTTAGAGGCTAAAAATTACAAAATTGTGCTGGCTTTATTACAAAAGAATTTTGGTGATAAAGACAGTATTAAGTGTAGTTTACATTCTGCTTTAAGGCGTATGCCTCGTTCTGGTAAATATGTCCCTGAAATAAGAAAAACATTAAGAAAAATTGAATCAATAATACAACAATTAGAAAATATGGGGGAAAACACGGAGCATGAACAGCTAATCCTTGAGATTGAGTCTAAAATGCCCAAAAGAATTTTAACTGAAATTTATAAAAGAAAAAGGACCGAAATAGGTTGGAATTTGAAAAAAATGTTAAAATTTTTGGACGACTTTTTGAAACTGGAAGAGGATGTATATCTCATTCATAAAATTTTGATATTGATAAAGATGAAGCGGATTCCAAAATAAAGAATAATTATAAAAATAAGTCCGTGAAAGTTCATGCTACCGCTATGTATTACGCAAAAGCCGCAAATTTTAATAAAAAGGGTAATGAGGTAAAACAATTACATAAATGTTCATTATGCGATAAATTTCATTGGGAAGACAAATGCATTTTATACCCCACAAAAGAAAAGAAAATCGAAAGAGTCAAACAGTTAAATATATGTTTCAAATGCTTTTCAAAAGGCCATAAATCGAAAGAGTGTAAAAAGGAAATATTTTGTTTTAGCTGTAAAAAACATGGTCATAATTCTGCCTTTTGTTTAAAAAATTCGGAAAATAATGCCTATTTTAATAAAAATATAGAAAGTTTTAAAAATAAAGGCTTCCATAATTTCCAAAGGGATAAAAGAATTTGTATGACCATAGAAAATGAAGAAGAAAATAATAATGTTTTATTAAATAATTTAGTAGAAAATGATTCGAAATTTCAGACAAACTTGGAAAACAATAATGAAAAAGAAGAAATAACAAGTGATATTGAGAATGATAAAAACGATATTTTTATTAATAATTTTTCTAAAAATAATGATAAAATAAATACGTTAAGCCAAACACTTTTACCTATAAGCACAGCTAAAGTTTCCAACGGTAATAAAATCGAGCAGGCACATATTTTTTTAGATTCAGGGTGTGAGATTTCTTTGATCCTTAACTCTTTCGCAGAAAAATTAGAACTAAAGCCATTAATGTACAAAAAATTTCGGGGTAAGGGTCTTTTTAACAAATCAATTGTAGTCACCTCGCCTGTTTTCGAATTTGAAGTATATTTACAAAATGAAGAAAAAATTAAAATTACTGCTCGAGGGACAGATGATTTAGTTGAAAAGTTAAGAAAATTTGATAATAAACAAACACAAAAGAATGAAAACTCATTTTTAAATTCAAAAATGTTATACGACCTTACGCCACACATTTTAATTGGAATTGATTACTTTGGAAAAATTCTAGGTCTTCCTGAAATAAACTCTGGCTTTAACATATTAAAAACAAAAATAGGAAATATTGTAATAGGTAAAGGAAAAATTAGAGAAAAAACTGAATCAATAAATATATGCCAAGTTACAAGTGAACAAAAAATACACAACTGGTGGGAATTAGAGGGCTTTGGTATATCGGACAATCCAACAGAAAAGGATGATGATTTTGCTAAAACCCATTTTGAAAAGACAGTAAGTAGGGATAAAAACGGAAGATATGCGATTGAATGGCCCACCAAAAATAAAATCGAAATTTCGGATAATTTATGGATCGCAAAAAAGAGACTCGAATCTGTTTGGAACAAGTTAAATCGCACACCGGAATTATTAGTTGAATATAACAAACTTTTTGACGAACAATTAAAAAACGGGATTATTGAAAAATGTGAAGAAATGTATGGAAGAACATCAGTCCACTATATTCCACACCATTGTGTAATAAACGAGCAAAAGAAAAAAGTTCGCATTGTATTTGACGCAAGCTGTCGAACAAAAGAAGGTCTGAGTTTAAATAACATCATTTTAAGAGGACCTGTTCTTTTGCCAGACATATGCGGCGTTTTATTACGATTTAGAAATCAAAAAATTATGATTAGCGCAGATGTAAAAAGCGCATTTCATCAAATAAGCCTTAAAGAAAATCAGAGAGATTTCACTAGATTTTTATGGCTGAAAAATCCAAATACTGCCCCAATTGATGGAAATTTAATAAAATTTCGATTTGTGAGAATGCCCTTCGGAGTAATTGCAGCTCCGTTCCTTTTAGCTGCTGTGATTAACTACCACTTAGAAAGACAAGGGGGAAATTTTGGAAAAGAATTAAAAAAGGGTACGTACGCGGACAATGTTTTCTTTGGCGCAGAAAGTGAAAAAGAAGCGATAGATAAATGTAAAAATGCTCTTAAAATATTTAAGGAAGCTAAAATGGATCTTCACGAATTTAATGCCAATTCTCCTACTGTTAATAAATTATTTGGAGATAAAGAACAGAAAAATCCGAGTAAAATATTGGGACTAGAATGGGACATGAATAAAGACGCTTTAATGGTAAAACTCAATAAAATAGAAGATGAAAAAATTTGGACAAAGAGAAAAGTCTTAAAAGGGATAGCCAAAACTTTCGACCCATTAGGATTAATTGTCCCAGTTAATTTTAAAAGGAAATTATTCGTTCAAGAATTATGGAAAAATCAAAACGGTTGGGACGATAAAATTGACGAAATAAATACAGAAAAATGGAAGGAAATAAAAAACGATTTTGGAAGTTTTTGTGTCCGACGCCAATCAATTTTTAAACAAAAAGCAGTTGAACTTCACGTCTTTGTGGATGCCTCGTCCAAGGGATTTGCAAGTGTTGCCTATCTAAAGGGAGAGCAAGAAAAAGGGGAAACAAACACTTCCATAATCTTTGCAAAGAGCCGCCTCGCTCCTTTAAAAAATCAAATGACTATTCCACGCTTAGAGTTGATGGGAGCAGTGGCCGGTAAAAGAATGACAGAATTTATTAAAAAAGAAAGTGATATAGAAATTGTAAATTATTTTATTTGGTCAGACAGTAAGTGCATTTTAAGTTGGATTTTATTGTCGAATGAAGAAAAGTTGCCAAGATTTGTAAAGAAAAGAATTTTAGACCTTAGGGAAAATAAGAGTATTAACTGGAGATATGTCCCTACAGGTAAAAATCCCGCGGACCTAGCCACAAGAGGATGTAATTGTGAAGAATTAAAAAATAATAAAATGTGGTGGGAAGGCCCGGACTTTCTAAAGAAAAATAAAAAAGAATGGCCACCAATGGTTGAATTAGAACCAAAAGAAAAAGAAAATATTGAAGAAATAAAAATAGATATTTTGGTAGGCGAAGTACTTAATTTGGAAGTAAGAAATGTATACCCAAAATTAGTAAATATTTCTAAAAAGGTCTGCGTAGCATTGAAAAAATTCGTAAAAAATGTTAAAGTAAACACTGAATTTTTGAAAGAAATAAAACATACAGAAACTAGTTTAGGTATTAAGAAATTAGCAGAATATCTGATAATATTACAGTCGCAACACAAAGACCCACCCACAGAAAATGAAATAAAAGAATTAATGATGAGAAAAGAAAAATATGGAATTTGGGTTTGTTCGGGACGTTTGGAAAATTCAACATCAAAAAAATCCAATTTTTGTCTCTTATAATTCACCTCTTGCTAATTTAATGTCTTTTGAAGCCCATTTAAAAACATTTCATAGTGGGGTACGTCAAAGTCTTGTAGAACTACGAAATGACGTATGGATTCCGGCAGGGAGGCGAAAAATGAGAGCAGTGATTGATAAATGTTTTGATTGCCGAAGATTAAAATTAAAACCGTACGAAATCCCGAATATGCCAAATTTGCCGGTGGAAAGAGTAAACAAATCCAAACCCTTCGAAAATTGTGGTGTTGATTATGCGGGACCGTTTGAGGTTAAAAATAAAGAAGGGTTGATAAATAAATGTTGGATTGAGATCTTCACATGTATGTCTACCCGTTTCACCCATTTAGAGATAGTTCCAGACTTAAGCGCAAAATCCTGTATTATGGCATTTCGGAGGTTTATCGCAGAATATGGTCTACCAAAAAGAATTATTAGCGATAATGGTACACAGTACCGATTAACCTCTAAAATTGTTTTAGAAATACAGAAAAAATTGGAAACGAAAAACATAAATTGGATTTTTATCCCCTCACTCAGTCCGTGGTTTGGCGGTTTTTATGAGTGTATGGTTAAAATAATGAAAAAATGCCTTAAATCATCAATTGGTAGAAAATTATTATTTTTTGAAGAATTGCGAACAATTTTAATAGAGGTAAAGCAAATAATGAATACGAGACCACTTACTTATGTGTATGAAGATTTTGAAAATTCTCATGAAACTTTAAGACCCATAGATTTAATTATGCCCCAAAGGAACGAAAATACAATTAACTTAGATGATTTAGATGAAAATGAATTTGTTTTAAAAGAAACCCAAAAGGATGAATTGATTAAAGAATGGAAAAGAGCAAATGAAATGCTATTAAAATTTTGGGAAAATTGGCAAAAGGAATACTTGAATCAACTCAGAGAGAGAAAGGACAAGCATAGTCAAAAGGTCGCAAAAAGAAATTACTCTCCCACAATAGGTGAAATTGTTTTGGTCCAGGATAAAAATATTCCGAAAAATTACTGGCAAATGGGAAAAATCGTAGAACTTGTGAAAAGCAAAGACGGATTAATACGCTCAGCTAAAATTAAATCAAAAGGAAAAATATTAACAAGAGCGATTGCTTTGCTATACCCCTTGGAATTATTCGCTGAAACTGAAAATAAAGAAAAGGAATTTAAAAATGAAGAAAAAATTTTGAGTCAGAAAGGTAAAGAAAAAACTGCAAAAGAAAACATAGAAAAGGGAATCCATCCAATGAAATTAAGAGCAAGAAAAAACCAACCCAACTATAATGAGAATGAAATAGAAGAAGAGGATATTCATATAATGTATTACACAGATGAGAGTGATGGTGAGCCATATAGTGAAGAAGAGGAAAGTGACGATAGCGAATACGGAAATAATCAAGCAGTTGAAATTGAAAGGGCAATAAATAGAGGTCCTATCCCGGTAAACAGAGGAATATTCATACGCGTGCCAGAGGACCCCATAGAAGCCCGAATTAAAAGAAAACCAATTGTAAATAATAAGTATAATGAAAGAAGACCTATAACTTTATATTGTATTTGTCCTTGTAAATTTTCGAAGGATGAAGAATGTTATTGTGTAGATCGGACACATCCATGTACTTGTTATCCGATTCCAGATGATCCGATAAAAGCGAAGGAATTTAAAAATCTTCATTTATTGGAAAAAATAAAAAAGGTTAACCCGTTTAAAGAAAGCATTGAACAGTATTGGAAACAACAACCAAAAATCAATAACAAATATAAAACAAAAAACAAAGAGCGTTTAAAATTTTTTAGTAAAGTGATAAATAAATGGCTAGCGCTTGCTTTTATAATATATTTGTATTTTACACGAATCACTAGTGTTTCTAACCCCTGCGCCAAGAATGAACCGCTCCAGTTTGTAGAAATGCATGAATGTATTTCAAAGGGATTAGTAATAAATAGGGATAAACAAGGACGACTTTGTTGGCAAAATATTGATTGTGGGACAGGCCATTTAAGGATTAGAAAAGATAAAGCAGGATACTGTGGAGAAAAGTGTCAATGCCCCGCATGGACTAATCAGTGTAGTTTTTATATTGGACCAACTAGTAGAAATTCAACATTAAAAAATGAAAAAGTAAGAAAAATTTTGGATTCCGAGGAAATAAAAAAGAGAATTTGTTCAATAGAGCCAAATGCAAATTGCGCTAAAACTAAATCAATAAAAGAAGTAGACCAAATAGAGTTATATGATGGAAGTAAAATACTTGTAAATAATTTAAACATAATAATAGACGATTTAATTGAACATGAATTTATGTGCATTGGTAAGGGCCCCATAACTGGATCCGCTAAATACTGTGAAAAACATCATTGTTATGAAAAAGGCACTAAATTCTGTTATTATACCCGAAATGAGATCGCATTTTTTGAAACTAGATTTGGTAATATCCCCATACGTGCCTGGGGTAAAACAAAGATTAAAATTTATGACTTTATAGAGAAAAAGGAAAAATCAAAATGCGAAATGTGTGAAGTAAAATGTACAAGTGAAGGAATTCAAATAACTAGTGAAAATAAATTAAGCGGGTTTGAAATGTGTCTAAATCAAAAATGTGAATATACCGCCTTTCCTGAAAAAATTGAAAATAAAACGCTCGCAAAGAAAACACTAGTAAATGATTATGTTGTCCTTACAAGTTTCTTTAGAAAGGGAGAGAAAATAAAAGAAATAGAATTAAAGTGTAACCATAAAGATATTTGCAAACTAATTGATTGTACATTTTGTTGGGAGTATTTGAAAAATCCACACTGCTACCCAGAAATGGCAATGATATCGCTAGGCATAGCGATATATTTTTTAACTAGTACTATATTGATGACTTTTAAAATTATAAAAATTTTGTTTTGTATTGTGAGATTTTTAGTACGAGGAAAATTTCGTTGTATTCGATGGGTTGGAAAAATAATAATAAAATATAGAAATAACATAAACAAAAGAGAAAAGAGTAAAGAGAAATATGAGATCATTCCGCCAAAAATTAAAAACTCAAAATTACCCATGAAAATTATAGTAACAATTATTGTGTTTTCTCTGATTAAAAGTGTAGAAAGTTTGACAACAATAACCGCTAAAGAGGAAAAATGTACAGTAAATCGCCAAGGGGAGAGAACTTGCTTATTCGAGGATATTTTAGAGTTAAATTTAAATCCCCATGAACAAACTGTAAAAATTTTATTGAATGATCACATGGGGAAATTAGCAGGTACAATAGACTTAGAAGTTCACTACACAGAAATGATTTGTACAAAAGTTATAAAATTTTATACGAGAACTTGGAAAATAGGATCGATGTCTGTCAAACGATGTTACTCGGAGGGGAGTTGTAGTGAGAACAAGTGTAGCCAAATAAAAGCTAATGAGAAAATTGAAGAATTAAAGGATGTGAATAAATTTCCAGGTATATCTCAATGTGTAGAGTCAGACGGGGGTTGGTTCCAGGGGTGTTTCTATACATTACCAGCATGTACATTTTATCGCTTTTATGCAATGCCGACCGAAAAAGAGATTTTAGAAATATTCACCTGTGAAAAATGGGAACCAGTTCTTAAGATAAATGAAACAATTACTGATAGTTCGGGAAATATGACAAAATGTACATATAATCTAAATCCAGGTATGAAAATGTCTGATCGAAATATGGAAATAACAGTTAAGGATATAACAATGGGAGTAATCCCTATGCTTTCATCAACATTTGTATCAAATAAACATAAAATAGCTAAAATAGACACTGAAATGGAAAATATTTTGAGAAAATTTAAATGTAAGTCAATGACTGAAGCTAAGACATTTTTAAATTGTTCAATCGATCCCACTACCTGCCACTGCAGGCCAGCTGACAATAAAATAAATTGCGATTGTAAAGAAATAAAAAGTCAAAATGAAATATTCCTTTCTGAAAATAGCCTACCCTTTTCACACAATGGAATTTTGATTAAAAATGAGCTAGGAAATATAATTGCCTCAACTGAACTTTCATCTGCCACATTTCAGTTAAAATTAAGTGGAATGAGATTAAAAACAGAAATAGAACTTAATAAGTGTTTAGTCACAAATATTAGTATAACAGGATGTTATGATTGTAATGAGGGCGCGAATATAGAGTTGACTTGTTCTACAGATTTTGGAAAATCCCTCGCAAATATTATCTGTCCAAGTACAAAAATACTTGCACTATGTGATACAAAAGGAATTGGACAAAAGATATCAACCACACTCGCGCATGCCGAAGTAGAAGAAAAGTGTGAAGTGTTTTGTGGTCTTCATCCGACAACGTTTCTTCTTAAAGGTAGATTGGCAGCCGTTGAAATGAATTATATAAACACATGGCGTGTAGTTGGCAATGAAGAAGCTAAAATTGAAAGTAGCTCTTCTTTATCTTGGCCACTCGACTTCGACTTTTTCAACCTTCTCTACTACCTAGTCAACCCAACACATTTAATCATCTTTATCTTTACTCTTCTGGTACTACTCTTTATGTTCTATTGCCTACTCCCACTTATTTTACGTTTACTACTTACAAGCTTAATTCAATCAATTTGCCCTCGGAGTGTCGAGGATCGACATGTAAAAATAATTTAAAGTGATTTAAATGACATTTTTTAAAATTAATCATTTTTAAAGTACATTTCTTGTTCATCTTATTTTTCTCTTTAAAATACCCTTTTTCATGTATCATCAACCTTTTTTACATTCTTGCTTTAATTTGACATTTCCATCCTCACCTATTTAAACAATACTAATCTTCCCCAAAATCATCTTCTTCTATCATTGTAATTTAAATAAAATAAAATAAATCTTTTTAACCCCCATTTTGGCTTTTAATTTGTAAGTTTTAGTTTATAAGAATAAAACAAGTTTAGTAAATTGTCGAGTTCAGACATTACTTTTGTACAAAATGATTAATGAAATTTATTATTAAAAGAATTTTTTTCATTTTTAAAGCTGATAATTCAAAAATTGAGGTCTTTTTATATCCTAAAATTGAGGGTTGATTGAAGTTGTGGAAGGTTATGCATTTGAGGATTGCATTTGAATAAAAAATTTCCTGGTTCCTTCCATCCCAGATATACTACAACTTTTATATGAAAAATACTTTAACTTAAATTTTCTGAACATTTTTTTTAAATTCTAAACTATTTTTAAATTAAATAATATTTAAATAATCAATAAGGAAATTTAAATTAAATATTTCCTGCCATTTTATAAAAATTTAAAAACTTTGTGTATTTTTTTTAAAGTTGTTTTTTAATTTAAATTTAAATGTATGTATTTTTAAATAACCCTGAAAACATTTTTTAAATTTAAAATTTTCCCTCAACAAATAAATTAATCCTTTTCCCCTCTTTTTTCTCAATAGACGAATACAAAAACTTTCTCTGAGCAAAAAATCCTTCAATATATAAATAAATTAATTCATTTCTCTTTTATACATTTAAAAATAAATTTAAATTCTCTCCATAAAATTTAAAATTTTGTTTAAAAAACTGTAATTTAATTTTTTATAAGTTTAACTTTCATGTAATCATTTTACCAAAATTCCATAAACAATGTGTGTTTGTTTTAGAATACCTTGTTTTTTTTAATTTATTTTTTATTAAATTAAATTAAAAAAAATATAATTAAATTTGAATTAAATTTTCAGTATATTATTTACGAAAATACTAAATATTACTTTAATTTAAGATTTATTGTAACAAATTTTGATTATTTTATAAAAAATTATCTTGAAACTACTAATTTAAATAGGTTTTACTTTATATAACCTGAAAATTATCATAAGAAATTCTTAACTTTGTTCTTACTTTTCTCCCCTCCTATAAGTAAAATTATTTCCCTAAATTTATTTTAGACAATTTTACATATGTTCAATTAATTTTATAATTTTTGGAGTTCTTGTTTCTATCCTTTTAACTTTTTGAATGTTTAGTGATTTTAACCTTGTTGAGTGATTTACTTAGGAAATAAGTTTTTCGAGTGAACCGTTAAGGATTATTATTCTCAGTTTTTTACATTTAAAATTGAAAACGTAATTAAATATTTTTTTGGTTAAAATATGCATTAATTTTTGAGAATTTAACATTTTCTTGTCCAAATTTGGGGTATAAAGAAAAATTAGTTGTATTGATATAGAATTTAAACGTCCTAATTAATTTTCAGAAGATAATTTTAAAAATAAATATGAGAACACCAAAACAATTTGAAGAATGGTTAAATTCTGATAATATTGAGGATGATTCAGATAAAATTGGAGATGAGACACTTGTGGAAGAACAAGAAAATTTTACAGAGAAAAGTACTTTGGAGACAACTAGTGTTGATGGGTTGTCAACTACATGTACTTCTTGTTGTTTATCAATAAAAATAAATGAAGGTCTAAAACAACGTGTAAAAGAATTGGAGGTTAAAAATTATTTTTCATTGAATTATTAGAGGTAGATCTCACTTGTGCGACTAATCATTTAGAAGACTGGTTAACCCAAACTGCATAAGTTCCAATCATTTAGTGTCACTCTCACTTTAAGTACAAATTTTCTTTTCGATAGAAACACAAGTGAGATCCAACTAGGCATTGTACGACACTTTCAAATTTTACCCCCTATATTTTTTCTGCACGAATATGTCGTTCAGTGATACAAAACTGAGTTTAAAAATAAATTAACTATATTTTAGTTGAAATTGAAAAATAATGATTTAACTTTGGAGAATTGTAGCTTAAAATTTCAAAATGCAAGTTTTTTTTATTTTTTTATTTCCCATCTACCTAACTTTATTTTTAAATATTAATTTTAGAAAATCCAAAAAATAAATTCTGAACGTGAAAATGAAATTAAAAATTTAAAACAATATTTTCAACAATTAATTGAAGAAAATAATAAGCAATTAAAAGCTGAAAATGATGCTTATTTAAAGCAAAAAGTTGAGAAAATAAATTTATTGGAAGAGGATATCAAAAATGTAAATAAAATTTTTTATTAATTATTTTAATTTTATACAAAAAATGCAAAGTTAGCCACCTCCATTAACAGAAAAATCAGTTTTCAGCTTAAACCTTTTGTAGAATTTATAAAGATTTTTAATGATTCAGAAATTATTCGAATTGGTCGGAAATTAACAGAGTTATATTCTTACTAGAGATCGGACCGTACCGTACTACGGCCATATTTTTCGGTATTTATCGGTATTCCGTATCGGTAGTACGGTACTGAATACGGTACGGAATAAAATTCCGATCTCTAATTCTTACACTCAATCAGCTTTTCGGAAAAGTGTGTTTTTAAAGAAATATTTGAATAATTCTAGAAATTTTTCTAAAAAATATAATTTTCAAAAAATCCGTGTTTGTAATTTATTTTCTCGTTTCGTACAAAAAAGTTTAGTTCGTTTCTAAGCAAAGTTAAAAAGGATTGATAAAAATTAAACTCAGTTATTTTATAAAATTTAATATATAATCTTAGAAAATACAAAAAATAAATTGTGACAATAAAAATGAAATTGAAGAATTAAAACAAAATTTTCAAAAATTAATTGAAGAAAATGTTAAACAATTAAAATCTGAAAAGGATGAGAAAATTAATTGTTTCGAGGAAGAGATTAATAAGGTAAATAATTAATTTAGCTCTTCCTTAAGCTAGATCGTATTTTCTGATTTAGAATTAAAAGTAAATTTTAAAAAATATTCATAATTTTAAATAAAAAAATTATTTTTAAAGTACCATAATCAAAGCAATGATTTAATTAAACTTCAGACAAATTTTAAAGATCTTCAAATAAAATTTAATGAAGAGAAGGAAAAGACTGATAATTTAGAAAATGAATTAAAAGTTTGGTTTTTTTTGTATATTTTTAAATAGTAATTTTAGAAAATCCAAACAATAAATGAAGAGAAAATTGAAGAAATTAAAAATAATTTTCAAAAATTAAAAGATGAAAATGTTCGAAAAGATGAGAAAATTAATTCTTTAGAATTTGAAATTAAAAAGGTAAACAATTATCATCTGTAGCTACAAATATGGGGAAATATTGTTCCGGCCTATTTAACCGTGTTGAGATTTTAAGGATTTAATAATTTGAGAATTGCCTTTAAAAAATTCAAATTTTTTAATATATGTACTTTCTCCAATTAAACTATTAAATTTAAAATACATAATTTGAAAGAAAATGATTTAATTTAAATATTTAAAATAAATAAAAAATATTTTTTAAATTAATTAAAATTTAATTTAATAAAGGCAAATGATTTGATCAACAAAAAGCATGGTGATTTATTTAATTTCAATAATTTATATTCTGTGGTTAGTTTATTGAATAATATGGTATTTGTTAAAATTAAAAATAAATGGAAAGAAATTGATGGAAAATGTTGCGAAAATAACTGTATAAATACAAACAACCCTGTTGGGAATTGTATTAAAGGAAATGGATTTGTTAATTTAATTGACCATGAAAATATTAAATATTTGGTGGGGAAAGGAGGTAAATTATTCTGAATTTTTGGAATTTAAAAAATTATATTTTTAGGGTGTGATAACTCTGTTTATGTTTATGCTGAAACTTCATTCAAAAAGCCACAAAATTCTTTTAATTATTCTTTATATTATTTTGAAGTTAAAGGTAAATTTGAAAGAGAATTAAATGGTAGCAAATCAAGGATGAAAATTGGTCTTAGAAATTGTAGTACAACCAATTATATTTACTATAGTGCAAAATATGGTATGTATAACAGAGGACACTTTCAACTTTCATCCTTTGCTTGGAATAATAAGGATATTTTTGGTTGTGGATTGGTTTATCCTCCAACTAATATGACGAATGAATTTCCTTACGTTTTCTTTACTCAAAATGGAAAACAAATTGGTAATTAATTAATTAATTAAAATAATCATACGAGAATTATTATTTAAAGGTAAAGGTGTATTATTAAACGACAATTTCGATTCATTTAAACCAGGTGTTTTTTACCTGGAATGTTGTTCTGTTGAAGCTAATTTTGGAAATGATTTGGAGTTAAAACCATTTACATATGACGTCTCAAAACATGCAATTCTCAAAGAATTTTATTAAAGATTTTTTGCTTAATTTTGTTTTTTGATTACTTTTTACCAATTTAAATTATCAATCATTAAATATTTCTTTTAAATTTTTAAATAAAACGGCCATTTATGTATATTTACCTTTTATATTTTTAAAAATAAGTTTACATTCTCTCGATAAAATTTAAATTTTGCTTAAGAAGAAATTAATTTAAATTTTTTTATAAATTTAAATTTTACTTATTTTAACAAAATTCCATAAAACAATAATTTGTATGTTTTTAATTTTTGTTTTAGAATGAATTTTTTTAGAATTTATTTTTAAATTAAAAAAATTTACCAATTTAATTAAGGATATATTTTAACGAATCCTGATTAGTTTATTTAAAAATTGTTTAAAAATCTTTCTAATTTATTAAGTTTTTCTTTAAATCATCGAAAGAATTAAAATATATTTTTTAAACTTTATTATCCCTTTTTTCTTCCCCCCAAAATTTTTTTTCAAAATTTATTTAATGCAGAATTTTTAGTGATTTTGAATTCGGATTTTTTGTATTATATTTAAAATTTTATCTATTTCCCTTATTTCTCGCTTCTAAAATTTACTCAGGTAATTCCTTATCAAAAAAATATTTCTTTCAAAAACATGTCGTTAGTTGAGAATAATAAGGGGGAATTACAAAGCTTTAAAAAAGTTTAAATTTCTTTTACTATTTTTTCTTTTTTAGAATCATCACTTACTATAATTTAAACATACAAATTGTCAACTAATTTTAAATTTCTTTTATAAAACAAAAAGTAAAATGTAATAATAATTGTGTTTAAAACAATTCTTTAAGAATATTGGCGTTGAGTATTTAAAAAATTGAATAATAAAAAAATTGTGGTCTAAAAAGTATAATTTTCAGTCGTATTTAATGCGTATTTAAATTGTGCTTTTTTTTCTCAAAAATGATTAAAAATTTATTATATTTTTAGACCACATTTAATTTTAGAAAATTCAAAAAATAATTTAAATTAATTTAATTTTTAATACTTTTCATCGTCTATATGCGAAATTCGTTGCAAAAACTCAAAAAAATTATAGTAATAAGGCACCTAACTTTAGGTTAATATACACCCAGACAATGATTCACCTAAAAGATATTATTTAAAAAATTGAATAATAAAAAATTGTGGTCTAAAAAAATTTTCAGTATTGTCACATAAAATATGTAAAAAGTTTTAAGGTACTTGAATTAAAAATGAAGAATAACTGAAGATGCTGGTTGGCTCCCAGCCGCCGAATAAACTTTTGCACCAGCTAAAGGAGAGAAATAGCTATAGCCAAGCTGCTTTACTACATTTTAATTGAGTAAAATAAGAACTGGATATTCTGGATGAAAAATTCAGGCATAAACCGGTTTCGGTTAACCGAAAACCGGGGGTCAGTCAAAAACCGAAACCGAAAACCGGGGGTCAGTAAACCGGTCAAAACCAAAAACCGGAGGTACCGGTTAATAACCGGTAGTGAACAACCCTAGTTTTTACCGTAAAAAATTCAGGGCTTTGTTTATATTTTTAATCCATTCTCCTTAAAAATCTTTTGGTCAAAATAAATTTTTAAATTTAACACCATCATCATCAGTAAGAGTATACAATACGGGCATTTCCCAAAAGATGTTCTTAAAAATAGCAAGTTGTCGCTTTTGACGTGATTGTCCTCTGGAAGCTTCTTTACAACCTTAGTTGTAAAGTTGTATTAGTTAAGGAACCTTTATTCTCCCTATGGTTTTGACTGTTTCAAACCCTATATCTCGGTCTAAACTTGTCCAATTACGGTGATTTTGTGTTTTTCGACTCTTTGACGAGCTTTTTCGAAATAGCTATGATTAGCAAATTAGAATTTTTCACCTAAAAATCAGCTTAGTCCCCCAATGGTTTTTCAATATTTAGGGGACTGTATCTCTGCTAGTTTTCGTCTCCTAGAAAAAAGAATTATACCTATATTCGACAATTATATTTGAAAATATATATTCGAGAATTATATGTATATTCGAATTGATTTGAATTGATTTGTCCCATATACTATAGTGATTATTTCTATACAATCTATTCAACTTGTTTATAAATAATAGGATGGAAAGATCACAAATTAACTAAAATTTACATTCACGCTGATCTTCTATCCTAGAGGCTATATCCTCTGGAAACGTTGAAACATCGCCAAAACCAAGAAAATCAGTATCTTCACAACCACGAACCAAACCATCAGCATCACGAGTTCCTAACAAAGGGTCGTCTTTTATATTTCGTTTATCTCTAGCTTCGGGAGTTACAATTAATTGTTCATCAGTCTAAAATTTTATATCGACGTTAATAATTCTGTCTGTTAACTATGGATGATGGGCGAGGTTCTCTATCACATGGGCACTTTTCACGTAATTCCATATATTCATTGAACGATTCATTCAGTTTTTGATATTCCTCTAGTCCAAGTCGATCACATTGATTTGTTGGCCGTTTATACTGAAAAAATTTAATAAGCTTAAATTACATGTATTACTTATTTTGGTACTTTATGGATATGTCACCCCCCTCCTATTTTGAGTCTCAGAGTTTTCCTTAAACGTAGAAAATGGTCAGAGATTATTTTCTTCTCCATGTCAATCATTTTTCTTTCTTCAAGCAAAACAAGTGAAATGTGGTAAATGTAGAAACGAAATGAGTGAAATGTAAGTACAAAATATGTGAAAAGGGAAAATGAACAAGCAGAATACTTGAAGAAGAAAAAAATGATTGACATGGAGAAGAAAATAATCTCTGACCATTTCATACGCATAAGGAAAACTCTGAGACTCAAAATAGGAGGGGGGTGACATATCCATAAAGTACCCTTATTTTGCTTGGACCGATCAGAAGAATTGACGATATAACAAGTTTGGACTAAGTTATGATCGTTTGTTTTAGCTCCTACCTATAGTCTCCTTGCTGTTTTTTGCTGCTGCTGAGGAAACAAGGCATGTCCAACCAGCGATGGTAGGAATAACTCTCCGCGAACGCGGCGAGTCCGATGATAGGTCATTTATTTTCATTTATATTCTCTCTGCAAGTGCGGACACAACAGATCTTAGGTGCCGGAATTTTCGTCTCAGGAACTTCCGTCTCCAAATTTTCGGAATTTTCGTTTCCAGCGGAATATTTGTCACCAAGGAAATTATTTGAAAATCAAACAAATTAACCCTATGGGCGTTGGCAAGGCACTTGTGCAAAATCCCTCGCTTCGCGTCTTACTCCCTATTGCTTTACGATTTTCAGGGGCTTATATCTCTGCGAGTTTTGGTATCCGGCAAAAAATTATTAGATATTTTAATTTAGCGAGATTAATCGAATGGTAAATACCTTCACTCGTTGGGCCTATACAATAGTGACAACAAAATTTTCAGCTAATTGTTTTAAGAAACTGATACTTTTTTATGTAGACTTCTCTTCTTGTCTATTTTGTTAGCAATTTCCAAGCAAAACAAGCTTTTAGAAACTCACGCAGCTAAGTTCCTTCTTAATTAGCTCACTATTTAGCTTTAGGTCTACTGTGCCACTGCATACTTTTTTTGATTCTGATAAAAAGTCATAGTTTGTAGCCAACATTGGTTTTCCTTCTAAATTCATGTCAGGTCCTACCATTGCGATTGCACCACCCTGATTTTAAAAGAATATTATACATATATTTAATTAATAAAAACTGTTACATCTCAAAAAGTAATTCAATTCAATTAATCAAAAACCAAAAACTAGAAAAAGTATAAACAAAAACAGAATAACTAATCTACTCTAGTCAATAGAGCTAGGAAGACTGTAACTAAACATTTGCCTAACTATGTATTACTGTAGTGTATGTTTTATCCTCGTCCCCGAAAGTCAGGGTACCTTAAATATTATTTTTTGAATTTAAAACCCCAGAAGAAAGTAATCTAGCCCTTTACCTCCAAAATTCTCAAAATTTTCGCCTGTTGCGCAAAAAAAAAGAAAATTTTGGCCCACCCTACCCTCCCGTGGCGCTGTCTTCTCGAAAATATTCCCTGTGGTTTTTATCCACCTAATTTTCCCCCTAGTAGTGAACCATAAATACTTTACCTCTTCTAAAATTTTCTCAATGCTTTTATGCTCAAGGTTTGCAATAACAGAACTTCCATAATCATAGACATTTCCATTCATTTCATCAGTTAGTATTGCAAAATTGGTTTCATTATTTCCCAATTGTATTGAAAATAATTTAATATAACTCTCTGTCCTTTTAAAGATGTCAAGATAGCGTTTTCCGCCATAATATGTTCCAATTTTTCCAGTTACTTTTATCGTTTTGTTAAACTCAATTCTAAAAATACATGATGGGAATATATGTATTTATTTAGTAGTTTAAGATACTTAAATACTTAAAGTATTCAACTATCTTTCATAAATAATTTACATTTTCTCTGAAAATGAAACCCCAACTCTAACGTTAACAGCAAATTTAACCCAATACTCTTCTTCTAATCTTTCAAATCCAACTCTTGTTGCATAAACTCTAAATTCAATTCCATGTTTTTCATATCCAGCATTATCCCCATCTTTGTTGCAACGTTTGGCGTAATCACTTTTTTGATTATTTTTTATCTAAAATATGTAAATGGGCTGTACTTTAGTATAGGTCCACCGAGATCGGAACTCAGACTATATACCATTCGATTCGTCTCGCCGAGCTGAGTTCAAATATGCAAGAATTTTCTGCCGGAGACGAAAACTCGCAGAGATACAGGCCCCTGAAAATCGAAAAACCATAGGGGGGACCAAACTGATTTTTGGGGTAAAAAATTCGATTATACAAATGATACCTCATTCGAAAGAGCTCGTCGAGCTTAGTCGAATGACACCAAAATCAACGAAATCAGACGTGATTGGACAAAGTTATGATATTTTATTTTAGCTCCTTACCTATGGCATTTGTGGAGATTTTTGCTGCTACGGAGGCCCCAAATACGTCCAGAGCAAGGGCGATAAGAATAGGTTTATGTTACGAGCCCAGACCCAGCGCCCAGCGGCCGTAGACTCCCCGCGAGGCGCGTGCCGCAAAACCCCGCGCGAAGCGCGGGGTTTTGCACAAGCGCCTCGCCGACGCTCCACAGGTTTAGGTATTTTGTTTTTTGTGTCATAACTTTGTCTAATCTTGTTCAATCACGGTGATTTTGGTGTCATTTGACTCAGCTCGTCGAGCTCTTTCAAATGAGGTATTAGGTATTTGTTTAAAAAATTTTTTATTCCAAAAAACGCCCCTTTGGATCTTCGGTTTTTAGGGGTCTATATCTCGGTCCAATCAAGTCGGATTTCGTTGATTTTCATGTCATTCGACTCAGCTCAAGGAGCTCTTTCGAATGAGCTATCATTTGTATATTCGAATTTTTCACCCCCAAAAAGTGCTTGGTCCCCCCTATGGTTTTTCGATTTTCAATCGCCTGTATCTCTGCGAGTTTTCGTCTCCGGCAGAAAATTCTTACATATTTGAACTCAGCTCGGCGAGACGAATCGAATGGTATATGGTCTGAGTTCCGATCTCGGTGGACCTATACTAAAGCGACCCCTGTAAATGTATAATATGTATAATTAATAATCTTATTACTCGCCTGGTTTCCTAATTTAGGCAAATAACAGATTGTCAAGTTGACTGAGTTCCAACTAAAATTTATTTTTAAATAGGGTGTTACTTAAGAAAATACTCGCGGTTTTCGATTATCACGGATTTTCGATTATTGACGCTCGGTTATGGTTAGGTTGACCGATCTTTAAGATCGGTCAATTATCGCCTGCAGAGCCAAAATGGTTAGGTTGACCGATCTTTAAGATCGGTCAATTATCGCCTGCAGAGCCAAAAAAAAGTTTATTTTCTTGTCCAGAATAAATTTACCTTTCAAATTGAGCTTAATACAGGGTTTCGATATACATAGGTGCGTGCACTCACGTAATTAACCAATATAAAAATTAATTACCGTTACCGTACTTCTCGATTAATTCCCCTGGGGAATTATTTGTTCAACCCTTCCTTGGCATGGGGAATTAATCGAGGAAGCGGAATTATACGAGTTTTGGCATTTGAACGTGCAGTAGCGTATTTGGGGTTGGAGAATTATTGTTTCAATCCAACTCTAGCATGAGGCATTAATCGAGAGGGGGAATTATTCGAGGGAGTGGAATTAATCGAGAAAATACGGGAGTTATAAAACATACTCTCTAATTTCATTTAAGTTGCTAGATTTATTTACGCATGTTTCTGATGCATCAATTCCGGATAATCGTTGCTCTCTTGCTTCTGCATTATTACATGCAAGGTTAAGCAATGATGCCCATAATTCAAAGCGATTTGTAACAAAATTTTGATTCGTAATGAATATATCCTGTGATAAAAATATTTCTTAGAAATATTTTTCATTTGCTTTGATATTTGATTTGCTTGACAAAAACAAATAGATTGTTTTGGTAATATGTAGCAAATAAATACTACTACATCGGAGGTATTTGAAATTTAATCTAATTCCTTACATAAAAACTGATTTCAGGAAATATGCTTAAAATAGTCTCCTTATTTATAAAAATTCGGAACTTATATGGTTTGGGTACTCTTTTTTTAGCCACGCCCCTTTTTCCTTTTCCATCATCAATCAAACTTAATATGGACAGAATAGTCAGCCTTTCTTTCTTCCTCGATTTCACTCAATTTTACCTGTGGCATATTTAATGAGTGACATAAACAAAGAAAAGATTAGTTTTTCTTTCCAATGTCACTCAAATAAAAATTAACATTTGAATCAATATTCTTATTTTCATCTACATATTTCAGTTATTTAAATGTCAATAAGTACCGCCCGAAATAAATGAAGTCCGAAAAAGACTCGGTCAGGACGGGCCGATAAAAATGAAGCCCGAAAAAAATGACTCGAACGTCGGCCCGACTCGAAAACCCCAGCCCTAATCTTAAACAAAAATTGACCTCAACTGAATTGATTGATGGGTGAGAAAGAAAAAAGTTGAGAATAATGATGGAAAAAGGAAAAAAGGGCGTGGCTAAAAAAAGAGTACCCAAACCAAATAAGTTCCAAAAATTCCAAGTATTTAACTATCCACCACCTTTTTTACAGAACATTTATTTATGAATTTCCAGAGAAATTGTCGGGTAGTCGGTTTAGATTTAAAGTTGTTATTAGACTGTTCGTCCAGCATAATATCCAATTTTAACGCTAAAATTCCAGGATAATCATCGAGCAAAGGCCTTGGCTTTTTAATAGAATTTGTAAAGTTTTTGTCAACTTTACTGTCTGCCAAAATCTTTTCTTAAAAATAAAATAAAATTTTGCTTTTAGTTGAAATTCTAAATACCTTTTAAAGAGTTATCCTTTCCTATCAAGAAATTGAAAAGTACCGATGGTGTGGTATCGTGTAAGAAAATCCGGCTACTTTAAATTAATTGAAATTAAACTTGAATTTAATTAATGAATTTAATTTAATTAAAAAGGTATTACATAGAAAAGTTGAAGAAAAGAGAGAGACTATTTAGTGGATTTTATTTTTAGTTGGGGTGGGGGCAAGTAGGGGATGGAAAATTCCCATGTTTTTAATTTTGCCAGAAATTCTTTTGTTTCATAAAAGTAGATTTACGCCTCTTTTAAATCTTTCTGTCAATAATGAGGACCATAATAGTGCTCCTAAAAGTTTAGAGGCACCGGAAAAGAGATCGCAGTCCTCTCTGAATTTTGAATTCTGAATCTTCCTCTCTAATATTTTACTCAACTTTTAAAACAATTTTTAATTTAAATCCAAACTCTTCAAGGAAAATATCAGCAAATATTTCCACGTCATTTTTTCCATCTTTAAATACAATAAAGCCGTGCCATTCAATTTTATCATTTCCGAGCTTAGCTTCCTTTTCCGAGTTTAAGCAAAGTTTGCTTTCACCTTTTTTTGTCAATTCAAAAGCTTTGGCAGGTTTCCAATTTCCTTCAGAATTAGGAGAAAGCTGGCTGGGGTAGCAGAATAGAATTCTGAAATTTTATAAGTAATAATTACCTAATTTATTTTTGTCCCTATTTGGAAAAAATTGACTGAGTCCAAATATCTATCAAAATTAATTACCCGCTACACCCAGCCAAATCATCAACCGGCATTTTATGATCATTAATGTCCTTCTCCATAATTACTTTAACAGTACTTATGGGCTCGAACATTTTGTCGTTTATAGAGCAATTTATTAGAAAAATTCGAACACAGAAAACCATTACAATGGCCAATAAAGCCTGTAAAGGCATTATAACCATTTTCAATGAAAATTCTGAAAATTTAAATATTATTTCCAAGATTTAATCCTCTAATAAATCTACCATGAGAACCGATAGGGAATATACCGTATTACCTCTAATAGAATGCCCGGGTTTTCTATTTTTCAAATACCTTCCAAAAAGGCATTTTATTCAGTTTTATTTAGAGATAGGAAAATTCTAAAATCAAATTTGAAGTCGAATTTGAAGTGAATAATTCGAGTTCAAAAATTAGATGTTTTAGAATAATTTAAATTTCATAAAATTCGAGAATTAAGAAAGATTTTGAGGTTTAAGCAAGTGGGTTATAGGGGATTAAGAGGAGGATTATATCAAATATTAAGGGTGATATTAGAGAGTAAGATGTTAAACTTATTAATTTACTATTCGTATAAAACTGCTAACAAATAAATAAAAAAATATTTTATCTAAAGCTACACTAAAATAAAAACTAAAAATATGTGTTAACAGAAAATTTAATATTGGTATGCACATAAATAAATTTATTTATAAAAGTAAAAAAAGGAAATCAACAGAAATATGATTCAACAGAAAAACGATTAAATATTTTATATGTAGATTTAAAAATTCATTACTTGGATGGAATAAATTAACTTAATTTTTTATAGTAGCTAAAAATGCCTTTAGTCACTATAACCATCTTAACGAAAATCTAAGAAAATTTTTTAATATTTAAACTTAAATCTAGTGTCGTTTCACGACTTTAAAGATTAAAGAATTTATTTTTTTTTTATTTATTTTCTAAATTTTTTCCTTTTTTAATGACACCTGCATTTAAAAACTTAAAAACAAAATTCCTTTCCTAGACTATTAGTTGTTTGTTTAAAAATGTTTATCCCTCCCCTTTTTTATTCAACTGAATGTATCTGCTTTTTTTCATTATTCATTCTTCATACTTTTGCTTTTAACTTGTACGACTTTACTTTGCTCTCCCTTCTGCTTATTCATTCGGATTTTCTGCTGATTTAGCTTTTGCTCTTCTAAAAATATTATACAATTTTGCTTTGGACTTTACTTAATTTTTGCTTTTTAACCTTTTTGCTAAAAACTGATTTTTTACTGCTTTGGATTAAATACATTTTGTTGGAAATTTTTAATTGCTTTAAATAAAATTTCAATTTGTTTGCTTGAAAAAATTGTGTGAGTTTTTCCTAGGCCTTCCCTTTTTTTGCGTTTTACTAGGCTTAATTTTTACTATTCGCGGACTTGCCCCCTTTTCCGCGACAGCTCAGCCGGTGAAGTTAAACATACCTCTTGCACTAATTCAAAAAAAAAAATATAAAATTTTTATAGTGGGAAAAATAAAAATGTCTGCTGGGTACCGCACCGAAATCATTACTTTGCTTGAGGACGCAGACACACTCCTTGCAGCTCCCAAAACATTCAATGTACCCTTGAAAGGACCCACTCAATCAAACGCTCAATTTCATTATGCCATTCAAGCTTTCCTAGCAGACCTAAATCTTGAATTCCAGAATTGCCTAACTATCACAGCCTTAATAATCAATATTTGGCGGGAATCATTTTTAATTATACTTTTCTTTCAAAATACATATTTTATTTTAGTATTATGGAAAATCTTAAAAATTTTAAAGTGAAGATTTGTTTCGAGTGTCAGATGAAGATTTTGAAAATTAGCTTAAATCTATGAAATTGTTACATAAAATTAAATTTGTGATTGTGGGCTGGAGATGAAATTTAAATGAATAAAAGATAGAAATCAAACATTGTGGATTTGCTAGAGCTAATCTAGAGCTAATCACAATGGAAAACAACCTACTTGCGGATTTTACAGTGGAAAAAACTATGAATAATGCTCATGTCTCCAAAACAGGTTTCTGATCTCGAAATTGTTATACATTCTCTAAAGATTTTTCGAATATCCTGTTACCTAATTTATACTTTATAACACTAAATAGAATATTGCCCATTTTTTTAATGACAATTCTTACAAAAAATAAATTAATTTCTTCCAGCGGAAACAATGTAAATAAGTACCTGGACCGATCTAAAAATTCTACAAAGTTAGTAGTTTCTGACATACTGCGGCCTCTTTATATTTTTTGTAAAACTAAGTTGAATAGTTTATTTTTTACCTCCTTAATTTCCTTCTCCAAAGCCTTAATTTTATCATCTTTTTGTTCTAAATAAATATCGTTTTCTGCGTTTAATTTTTGAATATTTTCTTCGATTAATTTTTGAAATTTTTGTTTTATTTCTTCAATTTCATTTTTATGATCAGAATTTATTTTTTGAATCTTCTACAAATAATATCAATAAAAATTATTAAAAGAAATGAAGTAAAAAATGAAACAATAAAAACTTACCAATTCCATCTTTAAATTATTATTCTCCAAATAAAGATCATTATTTTCCAATTTCAACTAAAATAAATATATTTTTAAATAAAGTCAGGTTCTCATTTGTACGAAGCTATCGCGCAGAAAAATTGGATGTAAAGTGAAAGCTTTGTACAATTGATATTTACTCTGTTAATTCAACCAAAAATAATTTTTAACCTCTAATTCCTTCAAATGTTGTTTTAACCCTTTAATTATATTTTTTGATGGACAACAAGAACCACACGTAGTAGACAGCCCATCAATACTAGATATTTCTGTTAAATTTTCTGCCTTTTCTCCAAGTGTTTCATCCTCGATTTTATTTTTATTATCAGAATTGTTTGCAGAAAATGACCATTCTTCTAATTGTTTTTGTGTTCTCATATTTATTTTTTAATTAATTTTCTGAAAATTGATTTCTTATTTTGTCACAAATTTGGACAAAAATACAAAAAATGTTAGAATCTCAAAAATTTATATTTCAAATCAGGGTTAGTAAAAAAGGAGGAAGTGCGTTTTCGATATTTTAAGGGTCTGCCAGAAGGAATTCGAGCTCGAAGTAATGATCAGTTTAGTTATAAAATTTCTTATTTCGAAATTAAAGTCAAATGAGGTCCGGCGTTATCTAAAAAATTAATCTAAAAAATTAAATTAATTTTTATTAAACAAGATTTAAATTTTATGGAAAGAATTTAAATTTATTTTTTAGAAAATATAAAGGAAAACTGAATAAAAATTAATTTATTTATACATATGTATATTGAAGAATTTTTGCCCAGAGAAAGTTTTCGGTGAAAATCTGTCTATTGAGAAAAACAGAGGGAAAAAGGATTAATTTTTATTTGTTGAGGGAGTATTTTAAATTTAAAAAATAAAAAAATGTTCTGAGGGATAATTAATGTTTATGATTTAATTAAAAATAAATTTAAAAAATATAAGCAAATTTAATAGTTTTTAAGTTTTAAATAATGAAAGGGAATGTTTAATTTAAATTTCTTTTGATTATTTAAATATTATTTGTTTTAAATTTTGTTTAAAATGTTCTAAAAATGTTTATAAAAATTAAATTAAAATATTTTAATCACCCTTCTACTCAATCCGCAATTTTAATTAATTAAAACTTCTAAATTTTTGAATTTACAACTAGATTAGACAAAAAGTCAGAATTTCTTTTAAAAAAATCTCTTTAATTATTTTTGTGCAAAAGTAAATTAATCGAAATTCTCGTTTATATATTAACAATTAACGTTAAATCAGAATGAATGTGTTGATTGAACGATATTCTTCCTAACATCCACATAAAAAGTTTCGAAAAATTAGACGTTCAAAATTATTAATAAGTATACATTGTTTAAATATAAATTCAAAATTTCGGCTTTACTAGATTTTCATTAAAATATCTCAGTTAATTTTAAAAAGGAGTTGATAGATATTATAAAGTTGTGGGATTTTTTATTAAAATTTCGTTTTTTAAAATTGATCAATTTTTTGTCTTATAACAGCTCGTTTGTTGGTGCTTTAACGAGAGGCAAATTTAAATATTAAAAAATTTTTTGATTTTTTAAGGTTGCTTTTAATAAAAAAGAATTATTTATTTGAAAATTGGTTATTTTAATTCATAAAAGTATAATGATAAACGAGAAAAATCAAAAAAACCAAATCAAATTTTCAATAAAATTCATCAAGAATTGAATGTTTTGAAATGTCATAATTAAATAGCTTAGATTCCAAATCATTTCCAAAATTAGCTTCAATTGAGCAACATTCCACTCGAACATATGGTTTGTATGAATTGAAATTCTCCTTCAATAATACAGCCTTACCTTTAATAAACAAATTTTCTGAAAATAGTTTTAATTATTTACCAATTTGTTTTCCATTTTGTGTAAAGAAGACATAAGGAAATTCATCTAATTTATTAGTTGGAGGATAAACTAATCCGCAGCCAAAAATATCGTTATTATTCCAAGAAGTGTTGTCAAGTTTAAATGATTCATTTTTCTCATTAAAAACTTTATCATTCATAGCAGAAAATCTAATACTTTTATTTGTACTGGAATTTTTAAGGCCAATACTCATATATTTTTCATCTTTATTTAACTCTTCTTCAAAATTACATTCAATTTCAAAATAATATAAGGAATAATTAAAACAATGTTTAGGTTTATTAAATGAATTTTCTGCATAAACATAAACTTTGAAATTTTTTTCTAAAAATATTTTGAAAAAATTAAAATTCAATGAATTTACTTCCTTCCAAACAATTAATATATTTAATATTTTCATCATTAATTATATTCCCATATTCATTTCCATTAATACCAACATGCTTGTTTATATTTATACATTTATTGGAACAACATTTCCAAATATATTCAATTTCACTCCATTTATTTTTAATTTTAATAAAATCCTTTAAAAAATTGGTACTTTTCCGTTATATGTCCTCAAATCTTTAGCTGTACTTAAGCAGTTGCTCATAGTTTTGTTTAAAATAAATAAATAAAGCTGATTTTAGTGTCATTCGGAAGAGCTCTACGAGCTTTTCCGAATAAGCTATCATTTGTTTTTTACCCCCAAAAATTTAGTCAATAAATAAGCCTGTCATCTCAATTTTCTCGGACCTATATCTCGGTCCACAGGAATTTCCGATGATAAAAACTGATGAGACGAACCGAAGTATATATAAATCTTTGGTGAATAATTTACAGCCAAATAATTTGTGGGTATATTTATAACGGAAAAATACCAGAAAAAAAAATTAAAATTCTAAACTAACCACCACACATTTATTACTAGTCAAATTGTTTAATTTAATTAAATCATCAAACTTATTCTTGAACAAATCATCTGTCTTTTTATATAAATTAAATATTAATTTTAAAATTTAAACTTTTATTTTTTTTATTAGCAAAATTTTAATTTAATTTGGAAATTAATATTTATATTTAAGTACCTTTTTAATTTCTCCCTGCAAATAATTAATTTTCCCATTGTTTTCAGCATTTAATTGTTTATTATTTTCTTTAATTAATTTTTGAAAATTTTGTTTAATTTCTTCAATTTCGTTTTTATGGTCAGAATTTATTTTTTGAATTTTCTAAAATTATTTTAAAATATTCAACAAAAACTATCCCAACTTTATCCATTTCCTTCAATTCATTCTCAAGAAAATTATATTTTCTTTTAAGATTAGCGGTCTTTTCCTTCTCTTCCTCGAAATTTTTTTGAATATTGTCACTAATAGTTTCAATTTTCTCAAAATCATTTCCTTCTTTTTCAACCAAAATCCAATCAGAATTTGGTGATAATCCTTCTTGAGTCATTTTTAGAAGTTTCTAATTTTTAATAAATTAAAATAAGTTTATAAATGTGAAAAATATTATTGTCCTATTAAGTTATAAAAGTTTATTGAAGGTAATTTAAAAATAAAAAAATTATTCAAAAAAAGCAAGCCAAGATATTTTAAATATAAATAGAGAGAAAAAAAAGTTGTAGGTCAAAAAGCGCCTGCGGTGCAAAAAAGGAAGAAATTTAGCTTGACCTACAACCCTTCTTTCTTCTACCTTTTTGCGATTTTTTAATAGCTTGGCTTGTTTTTTTGTTTGTATTTTGGGAAATAATATATTCAAATTAAGGGAGGTACTTAAAGAAATATAAAGGTAATTAAAGATAAATATAAATTTAAAAAATAAATTTTTCCATTACTAGCAAAGTACAGTTTCCAAAAAAATTTTTTATCTTTCTTTAAATACCTTTATAATTAAAAAAAGTTTAAATTCTCCCCCGTTTCTATAATTAATAATAAGAGGATTTATAGGCAAATACCTTTATTCTACATGTTTGCCGTAATGTAATACGTTCAAAAACATGTCTTTGGCTTGGTCCGAATTTGCCTATTACTGCCTCTTTTTGCTTTAAAAAATTAACGGGCTTTATCTCCCGTAGAATTTTTTCTGTGAAATGAGATAGTTGCTTCTTGTAGCAAATTTCAAGGGCTTTCTAATAATTAAAAAATTAAAATTCAAACAACAAATAAGGGTTCAAAAATATTTTTTAAAGTTAGGTATTTACCAGGGGTGTGCCGAAACGGATTTTAAAAAGCGAAGCGCGAAATGCGAAAATCGAAATTAAATTTAAAAAGCAAAACGCGAAAAGCGAAAGTCCAAAAAAGGCGAAAATCCGCGAAAAGCGAAATGCGAAAAGCGAAATTTTTAAAATTTTTCCGGTATGATGGGAAGTCTCTAGAGATTTGTCAACTCAGTGCTTTGTTGCAAATCAAAGCCTCAACTGAGTCTTTTGGTGAAGTATATTCAAAATATCAATTTTTCAAAATATAAAAGTTTTAGTAATGTTTGAATAACACTAAATAATGCCAATTCGCTTCTATAGTTATATTTAAAACATATTGAATAGTTAGTAATAAATTAATTGAAGAAAATTTTTTCTTTAAACGATGTTTTCTCGTCTTGACACAAAAATGATGCCAAGCTATTCACCTTTTATAATAAAAAGCTAAATGACCCCCCGCTCAACGGCACTAGAATAATTATGCAGTGAATTGTGGTTTAGTGGAGGCTGTTTTAAGGATTTAATAAAAAATTTCTTGTTGCGCAACAAAACAGTGGTCAGTTTTTTGTGCTTTTACACAAGAGAGAATGGCTAGAAGAAAATTTATCGGCCTTTTAGTTATCTTTTTTCGTTCGTCATATTTTATTTTACTCTTATTTTTAATGCTAAATAATAAATAATTTAGAATTTATTTATCGTTTTCAGACAAAAAAGTTAAAAATGTATTTTCTTCCGTTTGAAGTTCAACTAGATATATTTAAGTTCTTTACTTCCGACCAATTATTTGATATTCAACAAACAAATATTTACTTCAAAAATTTTATTAATGAATTTGAAGTGGAATTGGCACGGAAGGAATTTTATAAAATCCAAACTGTAATTTGTTAATATTAAATTGATTCTCTATTTTTTTAGTTGTATCATCTTGAGTGGAATTTAAATAAATATAAATTCTTTAAACCAGACCCAATTCTTTATGACTTTCAATTGAGTGAAGAACTAGAGAAAAAGGTTAACGATGAATTTATTTTTTATTTAAAATACTAAAATTTAGTGGAAATGTAGAATAGAGGAAAGAATTCCCATCTTTTTAAGTGATGAGGATACAGAAAGAGATATTGCAGCTATTAATATAGAAATAAATCGGCAATTCGGAAATGGTTAATTTAATATTATTTTACAAGATAATTTATTTTTAGCTCCTTAGAAATATTTTCTATTTATATTTAGTTTTCTGTTCTATGATTGTCACTATACTTTTACAAAACATTCCAAAAAATATTGAAGATATGAAAATTTCTCGCTGTTTCTTTCAACAAATATTTGAATGTGCCTTCAGATATGCTGAGTTTGATACATTTATATTTAATCCACAAATGATTGAACTATTATTTGATGGAAATAAAACAAATATACCTTTACAAATTCATTCTCGGATGGCCAAACTCTCTATTTACAACGAGAGATTTTTAAAATTTGCGTTGAACCATCTAATTTCTAATAAATTTAATGTTAAAATACACATGATCAACCGAATAGAGCAATTGAGTAATAATTTATTAAAACTTTTGACAAATAGAGGAAATAGATTCTATAGTGTTTATTATGATTTTCTTGACTCAAGTTTTTACAATCTAATTATACAGGTATATGATTTTTTGCAATGATTGAATATATGTATTGCAAAATTATTGGGATGTACATTCTGTTTTTCCAAAATGTCCTTTAATATGCAGATCTAGATCAAGGATGCACGCAATTGAAAAAAATTTCCGCAAACGCAATCCACAAGTAAAAAAACACTCAATTTTACTCAGTCCGCAATTGTATGCATCTCTGATCTAGATAAACATAAAAGCCGATTTTTTTAATTTTTAAATGTCCTTTAGTTATCAAATATTGAATATAGATTTCATAACAATTTTAACCTTATCTAATTTTAGTATATAGAAACATCAAAAAATCTTTCTAAAATGGTGAATGAAATTAGATGTTATAATGTAGCTGGAGATCTTATAATAAGTGAAAGAGCAGAAAATGTTAAGGAGGAAGTTAGATATAACAATTTAAAATCCAGAAAATATCAACTTTCAAATGAATACAATTCAGAAATGAAATTTTCTATTTCTAATAATGAAAGAGATGAGTTTTGGTCTGAATTTGAAGTTAAAAGAATTAATTGATAAATTTATTTTTTGATTTTTTCATGAATAATGTATTTCCCTGTATTTCCCTAATGTATTTCCTCGAAAATTCCTAATTTATAAACGAAGGTAATAAAGCAAATGAAGTTGATTTTGGATTTAATGATTAGCAAGACTTTATTATCTAACCGTTGAAGTTATATTATTAAGTTATATTATTAAGTTATATTTATATTATTAACCGTTAAGTTATGTTAGCCCTACTATTTTATGAATTTTGTAATTTAACAGCACAGAGATTGCTCCAAAAATATAGCTTTAGAAAAATTAAAAGCTAAAAATATTTTAGACGGTACATAGTCAAGTTACATAATTGTTTTAACGCCATAAGGGTTATTTAACTAGTATGTTTATTGCTCACCTAATGAAGGTGAATAGCTTGGCATCAACTTTTATGAGGAGAAATATTGTGGAGAATAATTGCTGCGAGGAAAATTACTTACATTTTATTTACTTTAAACTAGGAGGGTCATAAAAATAAATCGGAGAACGAAGACGAAACTTGCTTAGCTAAAAATTATTCCCATTCAATCTGTTACTGATTACCTCTAACTTAAGGTATATCTTATTATAATGGACGATTTCCCTAGCTCATATGTTGTAACTTTTGAATTTCTCATATTTGCCTAATCTTTTTCTTATTATTAGAGCTGTGATTTTTATGCAAATGCATATTTTTTTTTGCAAACCTGGCGTCATGTATAAAGCACAAAAAACACTGTTTTAGCTTGGATTGGAAACATTAGGGCTCCCGGACAATCCGTCAGTGGACAATCCGGCAGTGGAAAATCCGTCAGTGGACAATCCGTTTGTGGTCGGACAATGCGTCAGTGGACAATCCGTCAGTGAACAAATTCGTAATTCACCGATACCCTGACTACCGCGGCCAAAAATTTTAATTTTATCGTCTGGGAGATTATGAGAGATATCGAAAATTTGGAGATTAATGAGGAAATCGGACGATTTAACTGGATTAAAGGATATAAGTGGATTTGGGAGATATCGTGGATTTCAATGATATTGTGGGATTAAGGGGAATATACAATATTTGAAGTATTATGGTGGTTATCGAGAATTTAGGGAGATTGGTATGGATTTCAGGGATTAAGTGGGATATCAAGGGATATAGCCGGATTAAGAGGATTTGGAGGTAGTTCCATGATATCCATCTAAATACTATCTTTTAGTATTTAGATGTCTTCGCTACACGATGGCCGTGCTTCGCTGCGGTCGTGCTCGCTTCGCTCGCGGCGACCGTAGCGAAGCAGCGGCCGTCGTTCCGCTCGACATGCCCGGCTTCCTCCGCAGCGGCAAAAACTTTTCCGCGTAGACCGTGTGGAAGGGGTAAAAACAAACGGTCATAACTTTGTCAAATCAAGTCAGATTTCGTTGAATCTGGTGTCATTCGACTCATCTCGATGAGCTCTTTTGAATGAGCTATTATTTGCATTTTCGAATTTTTCACCCCCAAAAAAGAGCTTGGTCCCCCCTATGATTTTTCGATTTTTGGGGACCTGTAACTCGGCTCGTATTTGAGTCCGCGGACTAATTTCGTAGTTGAGTCCGCGGACTAATTTTGGTGTCATTCGACTCAGCTTGATGAGCTCTTTCGATTGACATATAAATCATAAAAATCTAAAATCCCCCGGTAAAGTGCAGTTTAGCCAAGTAGAGTACAAGGAAATAAATAACAAAGTGGTTTTCTGTAACGTTAGGTATTACAGTAACATATACCATAGAAAGATTTAAAACATAAAAAATTGGTTATTTTAATTTAAAAAAGTATATAAATCAAAAGGATAAACTCAAAAGCATCAAAAAATTTTTAATAAAATTCTTTAAGAATTAAATGTTTTGAAATATCATAATTAAATGGCTTAGTTTCCAAATTATTTCCAAAATTTGCTTCAACTGAACAATATTTTAGCAAAACATGAGGGTTGTACGAATCAAAATTCTCCTTAACTAACATAGCTTTTCCTTTAAAAAACAATTTCTGTTAAAAATTTTATAAAATAATTACCAATTTGTTTTCCACTTTGTGTAAAGAAAACATAAGGAAATTCTTCATCTAATTTATTAGTTGGAGGATAAACTAATCCACAACCAAATATATCATTATCATTCCAAGTAAAAGATGAAAGTTTAAATTTGTCATCTTTTTCATTAAAATTTTTCATCTTTTTCATTAAAACAAATGATTGTAATTTTTATTCTACAAAGCATAGCAGAATTAGAACCGAGAAAATTGGAGTATTTCAACTTCCAACACGTTTCAATACTAATGATTATTTTGGTTGTGGACTAGTTTATCCTCCAACAAATAGCCTTCACCTTGTTTCTTAAGGTGAAGGCTTATTAGAAAATGACAACTCTGATTTATATAAACCATATGTTGATAAAATATATTTGTCTATTGAGGCAAACTTTGGAAGCGATTTGAAGGCTAGACCTTTTAAATATGACATTTCAAAGCATTTAATTCTTAAAAATTTTTATAAATTTTAACGAACGTATAAATTATTTTTATTTGTCCAGAAATTTAGTTTTTAAATTATTTTTTAATTATAATTCACTCCCCAAATGTCCACTTCCCAATTGTCCGCTCACTCCCCATTTATCCAATCCCCAAATGTCTACTCACCAAATGTCCACTCCCCAAATTTCCGGACACGTTTTAATCCTAGGTGCCTTATAAACGTTTTTTATTTTAAATTTAAAATATTCCCTCAACAAATAAACTTTTTTCTTAACATATACATACATATGTGCATTATGTATATTTATAAAACAAAATTTTTCCAGGCAAAAAATCCTTAAATATATAAATATACTATGTATTAATTTATAAATATTTTCTTACTTTGATGACTTTTTTTAACTTTATAAAATTTAAATTTTTTAAATAAAAGTTAATTTATTTTTGTAAATTTAATATTGTATACTAAAATATTGCATTATTTTAATTTATTTAGATCTTATCAACTTAGAAAATTCTAAAAGATGACCCAAGAAGGATCATCAAAGCCTGATTTAATGAAAGTTGAAAAACAAAGCAATGATTTGATTAAAACTAAAACTAATTTTGTTTTTCAAAAAGATTTTGAAATGAAAGAAAAAACTGTTAATCTTAAAAGGAAAAATAATTTTCTTGAAAATGAATTGAAGGAAACGGAAAAAGTTTGGATTTTTAAAAATATTTAAAAAAATAATTTTAGAAAATTCAAAAGCTAAATTGTGAACATGAAAATAAAATTCAAGAAATAAATTCTCAACATAAAAATGAAATTGAAGAAATGAATCAAAAATTTATAAAATCACTTGAACAAAAAACTAAATTAAAGGTTGAAAATGAGCAAAAAGATGAGAAAATTATTTCTTTGGAAAACGAAATTAAAAAGGTAAAAATAAAAATATTCGATTGAAAATTGAGGTTTCTGGTCAGGCAAATTTCCTATCCCCAGACTGACCGGTCAGTCTACTCTATTAAAGGGGGCCTTCTAGTCGGGCAAGATTTTTCTGAGTCATTTTTTCGGGCCCTATTTTTATCGGTCGGGCCTATACGAGTCTTTTTCTGCCCAAATATCCTATCGCCGATTCGATCTTTCGGTCCGAGTCGGTCCATTTTGGCAGCCCTAATTATAAATAGACATAAAAAGAGAAAATGAAAGAATAGAAAGGAAAGGAAAATTGGGGTTACTAAAATTTTCAATCAAAAATAAATTTTAAAATTTAATTTATAAAAAAAGACGAATGAATTATTTGACAAGAACAATTATGATTTAACAATTAAACTAAAAAATATGCATTATAAATATGTGGTTAGTTTATAATTTAAATTTAGAACCTCCTTAACTCCTCTACAAAAATTTTTCCACTTACGAGACTGAACGTATGTATTTTGTAGAAAATTCTAAGGCTTTCGAATTAGCCGTCATCAACAATTTAAAACTATTCATAAAAGAGCGAAAATATTGTTTACACCCAGTTTTTACGTTGATTTTCTGGGTATTGAGATCTTTTATATTTTTCTTAGTAGCGATAAGGATCAAATCTTGGGTGAATGTCCGTCCCTATCATTTTGTTTGACTGTATCCCAAACTTGACAAAATATTTTCGAATTTTTACATTAATTTTCTTTAAGAATTTAAAAAAGGTTTCCTACAAATTTGGTTGTTGTATTATTTGCCAATCACAATTGGATCATGAAAATGTTTATATGTTGAAAAATTGTAATCATGCATATCATCACTATTGTATTTTTCGTTGGATTAATGAAGGGGTGAGGAAATTTGGTCGTTTAAATTTAATATAGAATATATATGTACATACCTAGTTTATTTATCGGAGTTTTTATGACTTTTGAATAATTTTCTTGATATTTCCTTTATTCTTGTCACATCCGCGATTCAATTCAATATTTATTTTTTCCCAACTTTTGTTTTTAACATTTTTAGTCAAAAAATTGTCCTTGTTGCCGAGTTCCTGCTACTTTAAATGATATTAAACAATTTTTTGTCGAAAAAGGAAGCGACAGTTCTGACGAGTTCGATGATGAATTTACTCAAAGTAATATGACTAAAGCTGTGAGTAATTTAATGATAAAATTAAGGGAGGATCCTTATTCTTCCATTTCTATTTTTCTTTTTGACAATCTTTTATCTGTTTTTTGTCGGAAATTTTATTTTCGCTCCGAAACAATGAAAAAACTTGTTAAATTAACCTTAATTTTCGGATATATACTTTTCGGATCAGGACCGCTATCGAAAGTTAAATACCCTTAATGTAATATTCAAATTAAATAAAAATTTAATTGCATACTCTAATTGATTTATTTAACAAAAAAGATTGACGAGTTAACTGAGGCAAATAATACGGACTGTATTTATGCGGTTAGTTTATAATTATTAGTGTCTGGATTTATATTGATATAAAAAGGCAGAAAATTCAGGCCAGTGTCGCTTTAGTGATTTATTTAAATATTTATAAATCTGGACTCTAATAATTAATAAATTAAAAATAATTTTTTCAAGGATTTTGTTAAAGTTAAAAATAAATGGAAAGAAATTAATAGTAGATACAGTAAATGTTGTTCTAATAAATGTATAACTAAAAACAAACCCATTGGTAAATGTATTGAAGGAAATGGATTTGTGAATATTTTTAGGGGTGAAAATATTAAGTATTTGGTGGGGAAAAGAGGTAAATTAGGCATTAAATTTTAGTAGAAATATTTTTAGGTTTTAATAAATATGTTGTAGTTTCTGCTGAAAATTCATTTAACAAACCACAAAATTGTCTTAATTATTCTTTATATTATTTTGAAGTTAAATGTAAATTTGAAGGAGAGTTAAATAATGTTAAATGGATGAATATTGGTCTTAAAAATTTAAGTACAAATAAACATATTATTTATTCTGCAAATCATGCTACATTTTATAATAAAAAAAAAGTACAATTTCAACTTCCAAAACTTTATTTCAATAATAATGATATTTTTGGTTGTGGATTAGTTTATCCTCCAACTAATAAATTAAAGGAAGAATTTCCTTACGTTTTCTTCACTCAAAATGGCAAACAAATTGGTAAATATTTAATTAAAAATTGGGTATTTATCTGTTATCTCCTTGCATTTTCTTTTGTCCTTATTTCTAGTAAAGGCGAATATTCTTACATGGCGATAAGTACCCAGTTTCAGGATTAATCGTCTGTATTGTGCGTGTGTACCACAACAAGTTAGCGTCCTTAAATCCTGGCGCAACTTAAATCTCAGCTTAAATCTTAGCGCCTTAACAATTTTTATAAGATTTAGAAAGGAGAATATACATACATATGTATACATCGACCTACGGACTTTTTGCGAACATTTTATATTTCTGCGGATTTTTTTCGCTTGATCAAAATAAATATTGCCTTTTGCTTCGCAAAGAGGAGAAATATCTGCAAAAAGTCCGTAGGGACAACGGAAAATTACTAAAAAAACTTATTTTTTAAGGTAAAGGTATATTGTTAAAGGAGAGTTTTGACTCATTTAAACCAAATGTTGATTTGGATTGTTGTTCTGTCGACACAAATTTTGGAAATAATTTGGAGTTAATACCATTCGCATATGACATTTCAAAACATTTGATTCTTAAAGAATTTTATTGAAAATTTTTTATTCACTTTTTATCAATTTAATTTATAATTTTTAAATATATTTTTCTGATAAACTTAAAAAATTTTTTGGTCACATCTTTTAAATTTTGTTTATTTTATTTAATTATGTAATTACTTACATTAAAAAAGAAAAAATAAAAAATCTTTATTTTTTATTAGAATGTAAAGTTGAAAAAGAAATAGATGAGGATTTGACCTTTCTCTTTTTTTTATTTAAATTTTTTGCCAAAAGGAGATAGAATGAGGGGGAGGAGCCTAATTTTTATTGTTCCATCTACCTATTTAAAATTAACTTTATTTAAATTACTTCCATTTTTGATCAGTCCTTCATTCCCAGGTCGGTTAAGAAAGAATAAAAATTTTTTTTTCATCATATTCATTTTCCCATTCAACGAATTTAACATCAAAATTTTTGAGATTAAATTCTCCCTGTAAAGTTCCATTATTGGAAATTTAAACTTATACCTTTTATTTTGGAATTTTTTAATAAAATTTAGTTATATTCTCATTAAATCGAAAAATAAATATTTCAATTTAATCCAAGTTTAAATAATGGGTTTTTTCCGATTTGGTAAATGTACTATTTGCCTTTATAGTTTGCGTTCTGACAACGTTTATACTTTGAAAAATTGTAATCATACATTCCACCACGAATGTGTTACTAGATGGATTAATGAAGGGGTGAGGAAATTTATTTTTTTAATTTTAATAGAGGAAGTTACTAGCGAGATCCGACCCTACTATTTGTCTTGAGTCTTTTGACTTTTAAATAATTAATTAACATAAAATATTCAAACTTCATTAAAGAAATTTTTCAACCTTTATTTTTGAAATTTTTAGTCAAAAACTTGTCCTACTTGCAGAGTCTCTGCTATTTTATCGGATATTAAGCAACTTTTTGTTGAAGAAGCTGGTGATAGTTCTGACAATTCTGGAGATGAGTTAGTTCAAAGTTCAAGTAATATGAACACAAAAAATTTGGTTGTAAGTTAATACTAAAATTATGGTTACTTTACGCAAAACTTTTTGA